AACATGTGCTAGAAGCAAGCAAGCAAGCTATGTTTATGTTTATATATGATGCCTATGTGGAAAATCTGATGGAATGTCCAAAAATCTCCTAGAACTAGTGAGTGAGTTCAGTAAGGTTGCTGGATACAGGAACCATACCCCCAAATCAATGTATCTCTATATACTAGCAACACTCAATCAGAAATGGACATTTAAAATGCAGTTTCACTTACAGTAGCCTGAAAAATATGAAATACCCGGTCGTGAACCTTGCATAAATGATGTGCAGGATCTGTACACTGAAAACTACAAAACATCACTGAAAACAGTGAAAACATACCCAAATGAGTCACGAGATACACCTCGATCATGGGTTGGAATACTCAATATTGTTAATGGCAGTTCTTCCAATAGATCACTATTCAACCCCAATCACAACTGAAAGGACCTAGACTAGTCGAAGCCGTGCTGGGAAAGGAGGACAAATTTTAGAGTGCTAACATGACCTGATTTCATGAGTCAGTATGAAACCACAGTACTCAAGGCGGTGTGGTATGGCTATCAAGGTAGAGAAAATGGCACAGAATAGAGGGTCCAGAAATAGGCCCACAGACATATAGACAACTGACTTTGTATACAAGTCAGATCAGTGGAGAAAGGACAGTCGTGGGTCAGGCCGTGCTTGGTCAGAGGTTATGTTTAAGCCCCTTGTGCCAGTGGGGCTCCCACCCGGCGTTGATGGATCCGTGTGCAGCCTTGGGAGTGTAGTCGCGTCTGCCACGTGACCTCTGACCGCTCCTGGGTGCGCGCAGTGGATGCAGCCGGAGCTCGTCAGCATCAGCCTTCCCGATGCCCGCGGCTGACGGTCAGCGCAGGAGGGCTCTTCCAAGCTGCCCCAGGTTCCCTGTGTCCCAGCTTCGGGCCCATTTCCCGTTTTTTTGACAGTGCTGTTAGCACGAGGTTCTCTCCTCTCTGTTCGGCGTAGTCCCCTCCGGCAGAGAGATGGGCCTTTGTCCTTAGGGCGTGCCTTTCCACTGTGTCACTGCACCTGGAGCTGGAGGTGGGAGCCCTCTCCTCCTAGAGTGACACCCCACTCTGAGTGGGCACTGGTTGGTGGGGGGTGGCCCATGGTCTTGCTGACCTACTCCGCCTGCCGTGAGACCGCTACCCTTATTGCAGACGGGGTGGTAGCAGCCAGGGCCCCGCGTGCAGGGCCGGCTGGGCCTAGACTAGGGCTTCCACCAGACGCGTGGGGACCGGTGAGGGGAAAGGAGACGGGCCCCTGTGCTGCCCTGCCCGGAAGAGACCTGCTGCGCCCCTGGGCAGCCTGCGCCGTCCAGCGTGTACCTGGCCCCAGACCGGGAGCTGGAGGGAAAGGGAGCCCGTGGCCCTGTCTGCACACGCCCGAGGTGGAGCCCTGGGGCACACCTGGCCGAGGCAGGCTCGCGGAGCAGGTCTGGCCTCAGTTGCCAGACTCTTGCCTGTTCTGAGATTTAGTAGATTTTCTTGAATACTATTTCTCCATTTGCCGTATGCTCTTAGGACGATTTTCAGAGACTCTGAATGTTGTCGTCTTAAATAACGTTCACCAGTTAAAATGTAGTTTTACTGGGGAGAGGGCCTGCTGCACCCCACTGTGTCATTCCAGAAGTTCCACTCTGTTTTTAAACTTTTGCTGTCAGGTTTTGGACCTTTTTCCTATAAGAGACAAGGAAGTTTTCATTACCAACTATTATTTCCTCAAGGTGTTATGTTTACACTAAATTATATTTAAAATAAGATTTTAAAACATTATATTTTAAATATAAAATAGATAAAATATATTTTGTACTTTTAAATATAAATATACTTAAATATAAATATAAAATAGATAAAATGTATATTTAATACAGTTTTAAATATAAAACTTTATAAAAATATTAAAAATAAATTACATTTTGTTTATTTTAGTAAACTCATCAGAAAGGGTTTAACCAGTTGGGAAGGCGGCATTATTTTTCTCCTATAGATCAGAATTTTGACTGTAAACTCATTTTCCATGTGGCCTTTCAAGCTGATGCTCCCAGGCTCTGTAAATACTCCCACTGGAGGAGCTAGCAGTGTCGACATGTGGCACCAGCATACTCACCAGACTTGAAACTTTACAGAAAGCCTGTCCACTTCTCACCAGCTTTTTTCCTCCACAGCCTGATGTGCAGTCGGTGTCACTGTCAGCCAGTTAAAAACTGGTAAATCAAGGCAGAGGACGGCGTACTGGCCGATCTGATTTACTCAGCTGACTCACATCCATTGCCACCTCAGAACGGACAGCTGGTGCACGCTCCCTTTCTCCCTGTGTGAATGTCCTACCCTCATTACTACTATGGTTACAGTATTTTAAAGGTTTTCATTTGAGCGCGACTGAACTCTTTGAGCCTGATGACACAGAAGAGCCACTCCTGTGGAGGATAAACTTGTGGAAAACCATCAGTGAGTCTTACGAGCTGAGTCTCTGAAAAAGAAGTAGCATCTGTGGAGCAGAGCAGTCACTTTGGCTCCGAGGCCAGAGGGACCACTGCCGGACGGGAGGAGGAGGCGGTGGGGCCGGCAGCTCAGGGAGGCCTCAGGCGATTCTGTAATCTCTCTGAGCCGCCAGCTGTGATGCTGCACAGCATCATTGTATTTTCTCTGCTCTTCTTCCTCCCCAAGATTAACTGGAGGGTAATGACTTCTGTACTGTAGCTTGTGGAGGAAAAAGCAGTGTAAACTGATGAGGAATTCTATACAATTTGAGGGGCTTCAGGAGCGCTCGGCGCAGTGCTGCCTGTGTATCCTGCTGCCCCCCTGAACGGGGATGAATGTGAGGCGAGCCTGTTCTGGGCCCAGAGCTGGGTGTGACAGGGCGTCCTGGATGGCCTCGGTGAGACACTCCCACGTGTGACCCACCTGGGTCACAGCGTGGCCGAGGGGACAGTGTGACGCAGCCGAGCGCACGTGTTGCTGTGTGTATGCTGTGTTAAGGCTGCTTTCCTATTTCCCATTTCCTTTTCTACTAAAGATAGAACCCAGAAGCCAAATATTTATCTTAACCGTTTCCTTCAAATACATCCTTCCAAAATTTTCTGGCTGTTTTCAGCAGAAAAGCTCTAACTAGGTCCCTCTTGCTCTCTTGGTCTCTCACAGTAAAATGGGCAAACTGTGCGAACAGTAAGAGAAGAGAGAACAGGGCCCGCGAGGAGTTAACTGCACAGCTGATCTGAGACTCTAGTCACTGGCTTTGTTGTTTGGTTAAAATACACAAGGCAAACGCGGAATTAAATCTGCCGCTCTTGCTCCAAGGGGGTCCTGGTTTCCATTTCTCAGCAGCCAGTTCGCTTTAAGACATGAAGGAGAAATCCAGAACATCATCCCAAAGCATTCCTTAGAGAGAGTTTCCAGACACCAATACAGAGTAACCCCACTTCGCTGAGCTCAGGCACTGTGCGTGGTCCTTCTTGCAGCGCCAAGCAGCACCGCTAACAGCAGCCCCGCGAGGAGGGAGCCTTCCGCCTACACTTTACCAAGAGGAAACTGTGGCCCAGACAAGGCGGCGGAGACATCCCAGGTCACAGCGCTCCTGGAAATGGATGGGCACTTTAAATGATCAAATTTAAAACAAATATTTTCCAAATTACCCAAGGAGCACATATTCTTTGTAAAAAAAGGGAAAGTCAAAGAAGCAGGAAATATAATTTTTAACAAATCACCAGTAATTATATGTGTTTGTATGTGTGAGTAAACACACACACACGTGCGTGCATACATGCACACGTGCGCACGCACACACACACACAGTCTGAAAGACGCACAGTAAGTGATCAGCATCGGGTAACCCTGAGGAAGGAAGACAAGACATTACCAGGATTTTCTGCAAGGAGAATATTTTCATTTATTAATTTGTGCACATTTAAATTATTAATTTTTAAAAAACCCTTGAAGAATGAGGACAGAAAGCCACATCCCAGATAAAGTTTCATCTTCCTTGACTCACCTCTTTGCCCCTTTTCTTATGACGTCCTCCTCATCGCAATCTCTACCCAAGAATGTTTAAAACTTTTCAAAAATAATGTGCACATGAGTCACTTGATAGAAACAAGATGATGAAGTCATTGACAAGGAAGTCTGAGGCCGGGTTCCGTGGTACCTGAGCGCACAGCCTGGATCCAGACTGCCTGGCCCGGAAGCCCGGCTGCGTCCTTGTGTGCCCTCTCTGTGCCCGGGCTTCCTTATTTGTAAATCTGGATATCGACAGTGCGTGTCTTCTGGGGTGGTTGCGAGGCCCAGGTGAGTTGTCACGCGTACATTTCTGAGAAGGGCACTTGGCACACAGTAGGAGCCATCTAAGGGTGCCAGTTACCATTATTATGCTAACATTCAGGGAAAGCTGTGATAAATGTTTGTATATGCATCCAGACCTTCTCTGTGCGTACGTGCACATCCACACACCTACGTGTACGTGTACAGATGCACACAAACATTCACCTGGGTAAGTGTAGATGTATTTTTTTATTAAAATTGGATCATCCTATTTCTGTTTATTGTAACCTTCTTTGTACTGAACACTGCATATTATAAATGTCTTTCCATGCCCTTAAATGAAGTAATGAATATTTAAAACAAAAGTCAGCTGTATTGGGTGTTAACTAGTTGAGAGCCTGGATCCTTTTGTCCAAATACCTGAACATTTGATAAGACAGGAATTTCTTGGCCCTGTACTGCGAACCCTGAGTACTTATAGGTGCTGACAGAGCTTATGTAAGTGGCTGAGCGGGCACTGATGTATCCTACTGAAGTGTCTAACTGTCGGGCTTTTCTGTTAAGCAGCGATATTCAGCATTTTTAAATGCTTGTCTTCAGAGCCATGTGCAAGGTAGAATGCTGCTTTTAAACATCACGTGGGAAGGACACCTGGAATGCTGTTCTTGCTAAGAGGGACAATGATGTTTGAGAAGCACGTGGCTTATTAAGGAAACTGTCTCTTCCCTGTCTCTTTGGCATTTCAGGAGATGTTCCACAAAGCAGAAGAGCTCTTTTCCAAAACAGTCGACAGCGAGGTGGATGAGATGGACACATCAGACACCCAGTGGGGCTGGTTCTACCTGGCGGAGTGTGGGAAGTGGCACATGTTCCAGGTACCCCTTCCCTCGCGGCTGGCAGGAGGGACTTGGACTCACCGCGGTATCATCCTTTCCGCGTAAGGAAGGCGCACAGGCGGCACCTGAAGGAAATCAGACCTTCAGGAGATCAGATAGC